AGTGTGACAAATATCACTAGGCCAGTTACAGGCAATTACTTGGTTGTGCAAACACAGAAAGAAGGGGTTTCATCACAGCATGTGGTGACCCACACAAATACCCCAAGTAACCTGGGGTCCTCACACAGCAGACAGGCAGATCTACATGTTCTGGGGGCGACACAGAACACCTGAGGTCTGAAGTGCTTTGTTAACTGACTCACTTAGTGAGACACTATGAATCTCCCTGGAGGAGCTCAGAGTCAAAATAACTGCACCACTTTCTAGTTTGTTCTTTTTAAAGCAAAATGTTTGCAATATAGTTGTTAAGATGCTACAAAAAAAAAAAAAAAAAAAAAAAAAAAAAAAAAAAAAAAAAAAGGAATTCCTAAATGACATTTCTGAATTTCATATAAGAATATTGCATTCCTTTCCTTGCTTTAGAACATTTCAACACTTTAGCCATTGCATCCATTTAAATAAAATTTGTAAAGATAAGAGTTGAGAAACCACCAAACCACAGATTTCTTTTTCTTTCTTTTAGTAAGATTTCAGTCCCTGAAAATGATGATTGTTTTTTAAAACTTGTCAAGATGAGATGAATTCTTATTAACTCTAGCCCAAGTTTTAATCATGGACTAAGTAGAAATTAGATGGCATTGGAGGACTGTCAGCATTTCATCCTCTTTCTGTTCATGTCACATGACAACCCTTCTGCTAGGAGCCTCTGCATTTAAAACTGTAGTTTAAATGGATTCAGATATGATTTATGTGTTTTTAAATGGCATTAACTCATTTCCATCCTCCTGAAAACCCTGCTTGGACTAATCAAAATCCACTGTAACTTTGTGAAAAACACATCATTGAATTCCCAACAATCTCCAAAAGGAAGTCTCACCCTTCATTCACTTTTTGGGGAGAAAGCTTTGCTATTACTAATCAGAAAGGGTTCTTACCAGTGAACATGTATATTATTTTGGATTTGTCTCTGGGATCTACTTGTCTGTTCTTGCCCCTGCCATCTCAGAAGCTCTGAATCATAGCTGACTTTCTCTGGATAAAGATAGTTACATAAAACTCTCTGCAGAAACCATGAATTCTTCCAGTGTACTGCAGCCTGGGGAGATGGGGACTTTTTTTTGGTACTGTACATACAGACTGTACATACATTCAAATGGGAGAAGTAGCCCAGATTATTTGCAAAACTAGATGTCCATGTGACAAGATGCCTTCCCTAAACTACTGGAGCCTGCTCAATACTCTCTGCTATCATCATGTTATGCTTAATTGGTAACAGGGTTAATTGTTCATTGTTCATTAAGAACTTAAGCCTGAGAAAAAGTGTAAGTGTAATAGAACCTACCCATGGGACTCTGAATTGTTCTTCCTTTGTTCCCCTAGTCTTCTGTGGATGGTTGCACAGTGGTTTCATACCAGCTTCTTCCAGAGATGGATTATCCTCTGGGAGAAGTGGTCTCCAGCCTCTTGTGACAAGAGGGAATCCTATTTTCACACACAATTCAAGGGATGCAAGTTTAAAATTTCACTAATTGTAAATGAGGAGGCACCTGAGACCCAGTCTGTGTCTTTTGAAAAACTATATTGCCTTGCAATGTTCTGAGGGTTCCCTATTGCTGCAGAGGTCAATAGAGGTTGAAAGTGTTCAGGAGCACTGACTTCATCACACACTAGTCCAACTTCTGTTGCCTACCTGAGAGGTAAGTGCTCAGGAGGTGTTTTGTTTCTGAATCTTCTCTGGAATTTTTGAGCACAGCTTTGTTTGACCTTGTTGGTACTACAGCAGAGTAAATAAACCTCTTTAAATGAAGCATTTTTGCAGTGTTAGGCTGAAAATACTCTACAGCAGAAAATTCTCAGTTATGCAACATGAGGCAAATTGAGACCCAAGTTACCAAGTGCAAATTTCTGAGAAACTCTGTTTATTACTTCTAAATCTGTAAATCACTAAATCCCATCTGTCAGAAATAATGGGGAGCTATGCGTGATCAGAGCAGTGGGTCAAGGCAGAACAGGATAACCAGGCAGCAGCAGCCTTGAGTTCTAAAAAGATCTCAGTAAAATGCTACCCATTGACAGACTCAGTTGAAGAAAATGTTAGAGTTCAGAGCTCAGGGTTATTCATTCTTAACTGGCACTAAGCATTTCAAAACAGGGGCAGAATCAAAATAAAGGGTTTCAACCCAGCTCAGAACTCCAATACAAGGCAAATGACTGTAGATCACAGGTTTGATTAATGCTTTGTGTGTGCAAAGGTTTTCTTTCTGCCAGGGAAGAGTAATTTTGTCCATGTGTTACACCTTAGAGAAACCTTCAAATTATGTCAACCAAATCTCTATAATTGGTTACTAGAGTGAAGCTTAATGTCAAGCACACTCAGTGCTATACACTCAGCAACTCTCTGTCAATAACAAATTAAGATCCCAGAGCACACCTTAAGGTTCTTCCCAGTTTCCTTCTTAGCATCTGTAGTTTATCATCCCTGCTATCTTTTCCATGTATTCATTACTTTCTTTCTGTCTAGGGAATTAATCTCTTAAAAATCTCCTGTTTTCCTGAGCTCAAGACTGTGTTTCTCATGGATCTTTAACATGATGATGCTATTCTAGAGTCTATTATTTTTTATGTAGAGTACATCTGAATTCTGGTTTTCTGTATGAATTCAGACATGCTCTGAATGCAAAAGAAACCACTGATATTCAGTGAGGTTTGTAAAAACCAAACAAAACAGTTACTTGACTACAGTATGAAGGTACCAGTTGTGGCTTTTGCATGAGACACATAAATCAGCAGAGACTTTGGTAGTAGCTCATATTCTATGAGGTGCTGTCGACCTCTATGCCTGCATGGTCACTTATCTCATGCAGTTTCTTGGAAGGGATATGGACATCAGGACTTGCACCCCATTTCATCCTGTTCACTTCTAGTTGAATGTGTAGATGTCAAAACCTCTGTGGCATTCAGAAACTAACTGGTATTTTCACCTCCTCAATACCTTATTATTGCAACCAATACATCTAACCACACAGCACTCTATTCTCTGCCTTTTTGGCCTACAAAATAAATAAAAATCACAGCAACTACCCATAGTTTACTATTTGTAGTTACTGCCATGTATGTCGTATCTAGTTCCTTGTTGGAGTTGTCTCTGAGGCTTTCACAATAGTAATAACAAACCACTAGTCTGTGAAAACTGCTGAGTTAAAATACACCCAGGTTCATAGCTGGAAATAATCTTCATTTACTGTTATAAATGTGAATGTTTATGAAGAGGGGGCAAAACTGATTCAGAGATGGCAGGTTGTGTGTTTCTATTACTGAGTTTTCCTGGGAATGTCCCTGCCATTGTCTTGCAAATCTTTGTATTTGGTTAAATCCAATTAATCCTGAGGAGCTACAGACTTAGTAAAGAGCAAAAATGCTCAAAGGAGCAAGAAAAGGAGAAGAATCCTGTAACTGGCTGTTAATTGTTATTTGAAATGGTCTTTTACATTTCTTAACCATTAGCAGAAAGATGGTCCTTGTAAACAGGCAGGCAATGGGTACCTCAGTTTAATAAATGTTGTGGTTTTTTTCATTTGCTTTTAAATGAGGGATGTTTGGGTTATCTCAGTTACAGAACATTTCACCAGTAATAAATACTAACTATTTTTAATGCAAGTCTCTGCCTTAAAGATGTTTACCTTGGAGAGAGCATTTTTGCTGTAGCTCCCTTCTCTTTCCCCTCCCTCTTTCTCAAACAAACACCCGTTAGGAAAAGTATCTCTGCCTCTCCAGGCCTACCTTTGATGTTGCACACTCCTGAGAAGAGTTAAAGGTATATATTTCTGGTTTTGCTATCCATTTGCACCTAGTTCGTTATCCTTTTGAAGAGTGGCACTAGGACCTTGGCTACTTGTGCGAATGACGAGCCTATGGCATTAAGGGGGGATGTGAAAGCCTCATGTGTCTTGAATACTCAGTGGATCTAATTAACAGGTAGAATCGCACCCAGGGTGCTTGAAAAACTGCCAGACACCATAGAAACCAGTCCTTAAGTCCCTGCACCATCTGCACTTTCTTTTCATTGTGAAAGTCGCATTGAAACATGTTTTTCGACCATTCTAAATTCATGTGTGTGTTAATGAAAAATTCCTGCTAATGTTTTTTTTCTTTTTCATTAA